ATAGCAAAAAACACAGTGACAACAAGCATCCCAAACAAAACACTTGTGCATGTCCAAGAAAGAACTTTGCATACAATTCCTGAGTGGATTGGTGCCACCTGCTCCCCTCCTCAGAAGCAATGCGTTTGGCCTCCCCTGGCACCCCAGCCTTTCCAGTCGGTTGCAAGGGGGAACGCACCCCCGTGAAAGCCGCTTCTTCTTCTTCTTTTTGGGCGGGGTTCCAAAATGTTCGGGCGGGGTCCCATCTGGCTGTGGCTCCAAAAACCGGAATTCCGGCATGGGTTGCCCGAATCGGTAGGTGGAAACATGGACTTCAAGACCTGCGGTTTGCCCCTCCTGGTTCATTTTGAGCCACATCCAAATGAGCAAAAAGAAGCAGGATCAAACAACTCGCATATCCCAGCGAACCAAAGAGACAATCAGCCGCAGCCATCTCAGAATTTTTCGGCACGGTGCCAACTATGGCTCTGGCTTCTCCAGCACCCGCAAGGCCGCCAGCGCCGTGCCGCTCCCGTGGCGCCTGGGGTTCCCAAGGGAAACACCCGGAGGCAGGCGGCCCACGGGACGTCGAGGCCCGAAGTCCTCCAAACCGCTGAAACCTCCTGAAACCTCTGACCTCGAGAGGACATGTTCCCAGCATTTTGAGTCCTCCAAACCTCTGATCCCACGATGCCGGAGCTCGAAACTCGAACTGAACCTCGAAACGAACTTGAAGATCCGTCGGGCCACGCTGGGGCCGGAGAAGGGCCGGCTACGAGCCTATGGGAAAAGCCCCAAAAGACCAAGCGGGAAAAAAAAAACTCCAGCATAGACCCCAGATAGCAAAACCGCCACCCCAAAACGGCACCTGCACCAGCACCCCAAACATGCCCCACAGCACCCTGCTGTCAATCTCGCAAAATGCCCGCGCCGTCGCCCCGAACAGCACTTCCACCAATCTCATAAAATTGCGCAGGCACCGTCACTGGCACCTCAAACAGCCCAAACAGAATCCCAAAACAGCACCTGCACCAGCACGCCATACCACCCTGCGGTCAATCTTGCACAACTGCGCCCGCAGCGTCACCTACACGCAGGTCCCCTGGCACCCGGCCATCTATAATGCGTCCGCACCGTCACCAGCACCTCAAGCAACATCCCAAACAGCACGCCAAAACTGCACACGCTCACCCTGCCAATCTTGCAAAAATGCGCCCGCACCGTCACAAGCACCACAAACAGCTCTCCAAACAGCACACCCGAACAGCATCTGCGCCAGCACCCCAACTGCACGCCCTCTAGCACCAGGCCATCGATCTCGCAAATCACTTTCCGTGCTTTATTAGAAGTTAGAACCCCTATAGCTTTCAGCTATCTGGGGAGAAATAAAAAAAAAAAAAAAAAAAAAAAAACGCCCGGCAAGAGGAGTGGCAAGGAGCGCTCTGCGCGTGGCATACCACGGCTGGTGCCACAGTTGCATGACGCGCTGCCAGCTCAGCTCCCATCGCGGACGTACCCCCGCCTAAGGATGGCCAGCACCGCTTCCACACCCTGGCGCCAAGCCGGAAGGCCGGAAGGCGCCAAATCAACTGGAGCCTCCACATCCCTCGTCCTCGTGTGCTACGAATGTGTGCTAAATCAACAAGAATCAACACCAGCGTCTTCCTTATGCAAGCCAGCAGGCTTCATAGCAGAATGTTAGAAGCATGCAAGGGCGGTTTTCATCGTTGCAATGACCCTTGGATTTCCTCAAAAATTAGCTTGCGGTGCGCACAACAAACAATCAGCACGACACCAGGCTGTGGCTCGATTCTCTTCAAAGAACACTGGATGTGCCAACTACATTTTTCCTTGGGGGAGGGGGAAACAAAACATCCAAGCCAAATCGGCGCCGCCTATGCACGGGTGTCTCTGTGGCTTTCCCTTCGGTCTATACCTTCCATTCCAAGCCCCCGAATGGGGGCCATCCCTCTTTTCGTCGCCTGATCTAGGGGTCCCTTCCATGTCCATTCTTTCCAGGGATCCGATTCTTTCCAGCAAACCTGGAGGAAAAGGACTCAACCCCTGGAGCCGGAGCTTGCTATAGGCAGCCCCAAAAAAACGTGGAACCATGGTTTTTGAGAAGAACGGCGGTTGAAAAGAATGGAAAAGGAAGCCAACCCTGGAATGGAAGCCACTCGCTCGCTCGACCTCCGCGCCTTGAGCTCCGCAAACTCCTGGTGCAGCGCCAGGCACTCCTTGTCATACAGCAGCGCCAGCAGCCTGGCTGGCGTGGGGTTTGGGGAGCAAGAAATTAAAAACTGTAGCGGTTCAGTGGTTGGAGACCCAAAAAAAAAGCAGTTTAGTGGTTGGAGATGTTTTTTTTTGAATTTTAGCAGTTCAGTGGATTTGGATTTCAACCACTAAACCACAATAAGCAAACATGTAAAATGTGTCCCAACAACAGGCATGTTTGGGACGCGACGCAAACGGGGTGCTAAATGCTAGTGCCATAGGCGACTTGAGACATGGAACGCACCCAGGGAGTCCCGAATAAAGGAATGAAACCACCAGCTGGATGGTTTGCAAGGGCTCATTCCCTCATTCCCTCTGCTGAGCACCAGCAAGGGTTTCTAGACAATGCTTACTTGCAACCCACACGTCCCGACCAAACAGGCGTACGCCTGCAGCCAAAGCAGAAACATGCGAAGCAACTCACAGCGCGATACAACGCGACCCAGCCAGCCAACTTCACACTGGCCGGACCCGCGCCATTGTCAACCTATTTCTCGGACCAGCCACTTCGGACGTCCGAAGGACGTCCGAAGGACGTTGCGACCATTTCGCTTTCGAAAGGATCTGGGCGCCCCCAGCCCCTGGCAAATGCGCTGCACGTGCTCGGGGTTGCCCGCATTGATGGCTAAAGCTGACAGCGCGCTGCCTGGACGGCGGTCTGAAAACCGACTCCCAGCCCCTGAAAAGCGCGCGGAATCGCGGAATCGCCCCCCCCCCCCCCCGAAAAGATCTGTGCAATTGAATATGCCACACGCAGGCACCGTTCGCCAACGTCTTGCCATGGCCGCTGATGGGTGATGATGCTCGAATCATCCCACCACAATCTGCAAGTGTCATGGACAAGACTGACCAGCCCAGGCTTCATTCGATGGGCAAAGGTGAGATCACATTTGGAAGAATCGGCAAGTTAGTAGGAATGAAAAACTGACACTATGTCACATCACAATTGTGACATGCATCTTTGCCGGACAAACCGAGGTCGTTCAACAGACATGCACAAGCTTCGATATCATGCGAGAACCCCGTCAAAGGGACCTGAAAAGAGTGTGGCTTGATTGGTCGGGTTGCAAGGAAAATACTCCCCGGAAATATTGACTTGCATCAAGGCGTGCTTTCTGCCGTGGTTTTGACTCCCAGATCCCTGGAAACGCCTGCCCAAAGCCCGCGCCTAGAGTCGCCTCGCCTGGTGGAGACGTGAGGCCGACAGCTGCAACCGCCACCTCCAGCCAGCGTCTTAAGGTCTTGCAGGGTGTCTCTTTGGCTTGAGGGTTCCCTTTGCTAGGTCGTTTTAAAGGGAAACCAAAACTGGGCAGCCCTCAGATCCCCTGCTAAAAGTTTCACTTTTAGTGGGTTTGGAAACCCCCACTAAACACCAAAGGCTAAAAAGCTAAGGAACCGGATGGCTGGGAGCCACCAAGAAAAGGAAACCCACCAGGGTCGCCCAACAAACAACTTTTGTTTGAGGGTACCCTTTGTTGGGTCGTTTTAAAGGGAAACCAAAAGGAACCCCACCATTTTCAGGGGGGGGGGGCCTACAAAAAACCAGACACGCCCACTGAGAGGTAGCCGCGAACGCCAGCCTGCGGCAGGGCAGCAGTGGCTCGGCGTACCGGCATGTCCGGTAGGCCGCTCACCAGGTTTTTCCTCAGGCGTCGCCAGGCAGTGCCCATTCTTTGGCAATCTCTTGCCAGGGGGGTCAATACTGGACCAGCAGGGAATACAAAATATACATATATATATATATATACATATATACATGTATACATTTATATAAACACATATTGCGTTTGGACTTCAGTTGAACACCCAGAAAAATGCCAGGTGTGCGTGGTTCCAGACATTTGAACTCCACTGGCAAAATCAGATCAACTCAGATCTACTGGGGCCGCCACTTCCGCCGCATCTGGTCCGCCGCCCAATCACGGTCCTGGCAATGCTTGCCCCTCCGCCCCTCCCAGTGTCTCTAGGTGAGTCACAATCAAAACCCGGTATCAAAATGGTCGACCCAGAACCATGTAAAGAACTCTGAAGGCGGCCACAACTATTTCTGGCTGGGATTGTCCCTTACTAACCTTCATCTACCCGGGTTTTGATTGGGGGTCAGGTGAGCATCTCAAAAGCAGCGTGAGGCTGTACCAGTGACCAACCTAAGTACAAAAAGCAAAACACCTCCTCCAAAAACCCACCAGTCCCAACCATTCAGGTAACCCCCAATTGGTTGTCTGAGGGCAGATGCAAAAAATCACCCTCCTCAACCAAACCACCGATTCGGCTCCGGCTCCGGCTCCGGCTCCGAACCGCCAAAAGCAACGAGAAAACGAACCCAGCTGAAACAGGGCGGGCGCGGGCCATCTCCGTGTCATGGCTGTAATTCATCCCGCGGCTACACCTCCGGACCCTCAGGGCCCGGCGGCTTGAGCCGCTGGCCGCGGCAGGCAACCGGCCGCATCCGCATCCGAGTCCGACCGAGAAATTGGCGGATCCTTGGCCAGAGGTTGGCACTAGGGAAAAACCACTTGGCTCGTGATACTAGGGAAGAATTCCACACTGAACAAATGAAATTGGTTGGCTCCGCTTGCTTGCCTCGCAACCATGCAGGATGTCTATCTTTCTGTATCTGACAAAATGCGTGTACAAATGCAAACATGCTGAGGTAGTGCAAGCGCTTGGCCCAGAAACTCCTCTCCAAAAAAATGTGCTGTTGCTTGCCTTTCTAAGCGCGCTTTGAACACATCTAAACAGCCAGCTCACAGGACCACGTGCACGTCCGGAGCCCGGTAGTCCGGAGCCCGGTAGTCGTAAACAGCCACCACACAGCCAGCGAAGACGCCGTCGGAAAAATAGTGCTCCACCTTAGGCTAGGCAGCGGAACGGGCATGTTTCCAGGGCATGTGCAAAGATTGCTCCTCAAGTCAAATGTAGCGTGTCTGGCCATCCACTAGCAATTGATTGGGATAAAGGATCCCCGACGCTTCAGACTGACAATTACCCATCGCCATTCAAGAGCACTCTGCCCTGAGAAAACGCGGTCCCGTTGGCGCACTCCTCGCTGCCTGTGAACAGTTTGTTTTGGACGGGTGTCGAATTTCCAAACATTCCAGCAAGGCTGCTCTCCCTCTCTCTCTCTCTCTCTCTCTGTACCCGTGGCGCGCACTTGAACTTTCAGGTGACTTTAGACTTTGGAGAACGGAAGAGGATTGACCTTCCATCCTTGTGCTCCTCTTGGTTTCAGGAGCCTATGATCCAGGTGGCCATGGGTCAAAACCCAAATGGTACCCCCCAGTGGTTACATCCGATGAAAAATCCAACCACCAAAATAGGAAGCCCAAAAAATGGGTGGTGAATTCACCCAACCAAAATGGGATCGATCCCAAAACGGCTTTGACAACCACACAGCCAGGTGAAGGGAACAAAAAGCCACCGCTCCGCGCCCCAGGCGCCGCCCGGTGGCGCCCGGGCCGCGCGGCCGCGGTGCCCGGGTGCCGCTCCCGGAAGCGTAGCTCGGCGCCGGCGGGCAGCGGGCAGCGGCTCTGAAAGTCCGCGGCGCCGCAGCGGGAGAAGGGGCCGTTGCCAAAGACGAAGCTCCTCGGCTCGCTCGTTTTTGGGGCACACGCCACGGAGAAAAAGAAAGAGAAAGAAAAGCCGCGCGGGAAAGGAGGGCGCTCCGCGCCCTTTTTTTCGTTCCTGGAGCTGCAAGGTGTGTGCGACTCGTGCACATGTGGATCTGGGCTCTGTTGTGCTCTGCTCAAAAGATGCTGTGACACCATTCGCCTGCCAGTCCCTGAGCATATGTTCCGCCGAGCATTGAAGAAAGACCTCCGGTCGCAGCCATCGCCGTCGCTCCGATATGGCTGTGGTGGTCAAAACCAATGGGATCCCATTTTGGGGTAGGTGCACCCCAGATTTTAGTCTATTTTAGTGGGGATTGGGATGTTCACTGAGGGCACGGGATTTTGACCCATGGCCATATGCAAAGAAGAACAAAAAAAAGAAAACGCATTTGGCCCTGGAAAGGCCCCTTGCGCGAACAACTGCTGCACTCTGAACAAAGGGCTAAACGGAACCGGACACAGCAGCGCGAGCAGTCGGTGAGCCAGCAAAAAATCGGGACGTTGGGCCTCTGCGTCTGTCTTCTCTGTGTGCGTGGGTGTGTTTGTGTCTCTGTGTTTCTCTCTCTCTCTCTCTCTCTCGTATCTCTCTGCGGAGCATCTCCGCTCAGGCGCCTTGCTCCAACCGCCCGCCGCCCAACTTTAATGACTCAACCTCTGGCTTGACCCTCTGCCCTGTCTCTATTTGTCGTTATGTCTGGCTCTCACCGCTTCTGCTTGTGTCTATTTCTGTCTGTTGCCGCTGCCTGCCTGCGTGAACGCGCCGCCAGTGGAAACCACTGGGCCTCCACAGGCTCAGGTAAGTGTACTTGGCCAGGGGTCAGACTCCCGTGCCCTCAGTGAACATCCCCAATCCAACCACTAAAATCGGTTCTAAAATGGGTGGCGAATTCACCTACCCCAGAATGGGATCCCATTGGTTTTGACCCACAGCCATTTGCATGTGTGCGGTCACTTTTGGGCATGGTGGCGGCACTGGCCCCTTGCACCCACCAGTCCGAGAAACCACTCGGTCCCATTCCGCTCGTAGCTCCAGAACTGCTCCGTGAGGTTCTGGATGGGCAGCAAAGTGCGAAAGTGCCTCTGCGTGCGACCAGGAAGTGCCTTGTGAAGTCTACTCCATCGGTATAGGCTCATAGAGTTCAGAAACAAGCCCAAACACAACAATAAGCAATGGCTTCAGCCGTCGCCAAGCCAACTGAGAACATGCGCTGGCAGACAGCGGCAAAGCACATGAGAATGAAGCCCTGCGAGTGGATACCAGGCACTCACCTGGTGTGACAAAACTATGTTCAATTACACACTGGGTCAAGAACAATGGGCGACCTTCCAAGACCCGGCAGCACAGAACAAGAATGTTGCCCTGGTATGTTCAGGCGAGAATAGGCTCGATATGTTGCTGTCCACCGCAACTCCGCCCTAGAGAAGTTTGACTGAAGTCCAAAAGTAGCTTTATTGTATCATTATTGGAGTTCAACTCACCTTTGATATCAGAAAGAAGGCCCTCAAGCCTGCGAAGCGGTCAAATCTCTACTTTGATCACACCCAAACCAACCTGTCATCTATGTGAATCAAAGTCCATGTCCGCTGCCCCAGCTGGGCTCCACTTACAATAATTCTCAATTGCCCAAATCAAACCGGGTGAGTCTGGTGAACCAGCTTTGGGGTCAACGGGGGAGTGTACGTTATTCTAGGGGTTGATTCCTTTTCCAATCTTTTAAACCATCATTATTTTCAACAACCAGCTGTTTCCTTAAGGGCTTTTGGTGGTTTTCTGGAAAGAAGGATCCCCGGAAGGAATGGGAATGGAAGCTACCATCATGGTCCGCCTGGTGATGGTGTAGGCCTCCCCGAGCACAATCGGGTCCGGCTCGTGGCTGTAGCTCAGCAACTCCAAGCCCCTCACGTCTGCGAGCAGCCCGCAATCCTGGCGCTGAGGGGTCCGGAACAGATGGCTATGGGTCAAAACCCAAATCGGTTAGCCCCAGTGAACATCCCAATCCAACCACTAAAATATGTTCTAAAATGGGTGGTGAATTCACCTACCCCAAAATGGTACCATTGGTGTTGACCCACGGCCAAATGTCGGAGAGCGACGAACAAGTGGGGAAGTGCAGAACAGTTCTCCAGCATGTGTTCCTCTCAAATCTTCTTTCGGAAAGAGTTTGTTCAAAGACATTAAAGTGAGTCTGTGGCCTGACCCAAACCCAGCAAGCAAGCTCTCTGACCACCTTGATTCACCAGCAAGCTCTCTGACCCCCTTGTTTTGGGGCGCCCCGTTTACTAGTCACCCCCATAGGACCAAAGAATCGGCAGCTCCTTATGTTGCGCTTTCCCATCAGCCATGTGAGGGCTGTTCAAAAAGGGGATGCGCCTTTTTGGACCCTTTTTGTGGTCTTGATGGGTCAACCAATGTTGAAAAAGCGGAAAGCCGGCCAAAGCAAATCCAATTTGATGGCGCCTATTTAACCCCGTAGAGTGACGCATGCCTCATGCACCCGGGCTACACAGGGATCCTTACATTATACACCTGAACATTGCCTTGTAAATGGTGGTTTCCCTTTATTTTGGTGGTGGAAAAAGCCATGTTTCAAATGGGCAAAATGTATCATTTAAGGAGCCCTGTTACATTCGGGCTCCAAAACAAGACCATGTTGCAAACTGCAAACTAAATGCCTTGCCTCCCATGGTCCCAATTGGATAATTCGTGTTGCGTGGAGTCTAAAACTCTCCACGCCCAATGCCCATAGCGGATGGACAAATGTCCCTTCGCGCCTCTCTGAAACCATGGTTGACGCCACTTTTTGCTTTCTTTTGTTTTCTTCTTTCGGTCTGTACAGGAGAATCAGACACTGTTTCATGGGTATGTACAGGGGAATATCATCAGAAACCAGGGTTTCTGAACTCTGAACGGTGTGTGGCGCGCTTTATGGATTTCGCAACCATCCATCCCCAGGGCACGCCCCTCTGGAGGCTGCCCTTCGGGCCGCATCCTGCCAGCTCAGCGCCGCCGCATCTGCGCAGCCGAGCGCCGCCAGCGCCACCCAGACCGCGGAGCGGCTCATGGCGAGCTGTGGGTGAGGGGAGCTCAGCGAGAAGTGGCTGGTGGTGGTCAACACGTCGGGCAACCCCAAGGTGGGTCAAACCCCTGGTCTCTGGAAAGGACGATTCAACCTGCGGTCCAATTTCTGGTCAGTTGACATGGCTGATCCGCTGACTCCATCGCGCTTCTCTGCCCCAAGAGGTACCTTGAGTAGGGTGCTGCAGGCTGCAAGTTCACAAGTTGACAAAGTGATTGAAGGATGATTCCTCATGCTTGAGCACAGTGGCTAGGCTGTTTCGGTCATTGCATCGTCACGCCCCTGTTAATCATGACTCTTCGACCCACATCTGAGATGTTGAGGGCATTCCGATCTACGTCGAAGAACAGCTTCAGCTGCTATGCGCCGAGAAATTTGCCACACCCAGCTCTTGCACGGAGAGCAGTCTTGGAGTGAGGTCCGGTTCAAGAACAACTCCCCAGACCGCAATTTTTTTACGGCGCAACCACACGGGTCTCCACCGACATCGCCTCGCCGCCCGCCTCCGCCTCGCGCGCCTTTTTGGTGACTCTTCTTGGCTCCAGGCCCAAGGGTGAAACCACCTGGCCTGGCGAAGGAGCCGCGTCCAGAAAAGAGATTCGGGGATGTCGGGTTTTTAGAAGGACCCCCCAAAAAAGATGCAAGATGGTGATGTTCCTTTCTGTTTCCCTTTAAAACCACTGCGGGGGGGCGGGGGGGGCGGGGGTCGTTTTTCAGGGGACCCCCCCAGAATGGTGATGTTCCTTTCGGTTCCCGGAAAAAAAAAGGAGAAAAAAAAAAACAAGGTTTCCCTGAAAGAAAACAGACCCATTCTCTGCTGCTTCAATTCGATGCCCTAGAACATACTGGACCTATGGACATCCTCCATTCGCTTGATTGGTCAGGCACTTTGTGGTGAGCGCACGCTTTCTGCCACCAAGTGTTGGTTCAAGCCTTTTTCATCATCCTTCATTGTTCAACATACGCGCTGAAACTTGCTGAACCGGTGGCTACGATGTGCTTGCTTTCTTTTAAGAATAGATGTGAGGGCATAATTTGGGGGGTGCATGCTGCGTGATCGCATTTCAGCCCAGCCGCATGATAGGGAAGCACTTGATTCAGATTTGGCTGTGAGTCAAACCCTGACCCCCCTACCGCGCTTGGCTGCTCCCAACCGTGCCTCGAGCTCGCTAGCATGCACAGTCGTTATCTCGTCTGCGGCCTGCAAAGCAAAACAAATGTCCCCTGAGACCAAAAAACTTGTTCTCCTCCCACAAAGGGGGAGCATCTTGCAAAGATTGCCACTCTTATGCCGTCCGACAGCTGGAAGATTGAACAGACGAGCCGACAAGCTGCCACAATATTCCTCAGGCTAGATCGCCGTGAAGTATCTGGTTCAGCTGGGACTGCAAAAGTGTGCTACCATGTCCCTGGTCCTGTTAGCTCCTTGGCTCCCTCTTTCAGCAAATTCGTACACCCCCAGCTCCTTGGCTCCCCTCCAATGGTCCAAGCACCAGCTAGTGTGACGTGGACCGCTGTCACTGCCCAAACGGCGAGGCTCTCAATCTGCGCCTTCATCCTCGAGGTTGATTGCCTCCGCAGCACAGAACATGTCTCTTTCTCTTTGGGGGGAGGGGCGGCCGGCAAAAGGAGGGGAATGAGACTATTCTTGGTGGCTTTCTGCTCCCCTGCTAAACGTTTAACTTTTAGTGGTTTACTGGAAAACCTACTAGTTGGCAAAAAGTTAAAGCCCTAACATCCAAGCAAAATGCACCAAAGTATTGATGCATGAGATCAGATCAGCAAAGGTGTTGCGCTGAAGCACAGGTCGCAAGCTGCCATGGAACTGACACCAGCAATGACTCCACATTCGAATCCTGGGGCCACTCCTCGGGGTAGCCGGACATGTCAAGTCGGGCTGGATTTCGGCCCAACTCCTTCTGCTTCTGCAGGATGCCTGAGGCTGCGTGACAACAAGCGGCAGATTTGCCGTCCCATTTGGCCATGGTTCAAAACCAATGGTACCATTTTGGGATAGGTGAATTCACCACCCATTTGAGGCTTCCTATTTTAGTGGTTGGATTGAATCGGATGTTCACTGGGGGCTAACCGATTTGGGTTTTGAAAAGCCCATGGCCATTTGGATCTCAACCCAAGCTACGAAGGTCGACTTCAAGGGCAAAGACACCTGGATTCCATGCCCTCTCCCCGGATTGAATCAGGAGAGTGGATGTTCATACCCCTTCGAAATCCATCAAGGAGTATGAGGTGGGGGTATGCGCCTCCGCCCTTAGACGGAAATCGTATCTCTTCATCCTGACGATGCAATCCTCAGCCACGTGAGTACGTGGGTTTGGGCCTCGACTTCCGCGTCAGCTTCCGCTTCATCCGCTTAGGAGCCGCTTCATTGGCTCATCAAAACTGTCCCTCTTGTACTATCACGTGAGTCACTTGCTCAAAACCCAGAATTAAAATGGTCTACCCAGAGCCATGAAAAGAATCGAGAAGGCGGCCGCAACTATTTCTGGCTGGGACTGCGCCTTACTAACCTTCATCTACCCGAATCGGTTTTGATGGTGGCTCATGTCCCTAACCACTCCGATCGGTAGCTCCCAATTGGATACGCACCCCCCCCTTCCCCCCGGAAGGGCTCGCTCCCTTCCAGCCACTAGCTCTTGGTTCGAGCTTCGAAAAAGGAGTGGCCGTAGGTTGGGTCAACCATCATGGGCGCTGGGGGGGAGGGAGGAGGGGGAGGGAGCCCAAATATGTCCTAAATAAGGCCTTTTTAAGGGCTTAATGAGGGCCCTCCCCATGAAACCACCAACCAGCCCCTCGCCAGCGCTCTCTTGCGAGCCTCGGAGAAGCCGCAGGAAGATCTGCTCCACGCCCACGGCGAGGTCCTGACACCCAAGGAGCGCGGCACGGGCCCGCGCGCGGGCGCGCGCCCGCCAACGCGCCCCAAGGAGCCGAGTCAATGCTCTGAGAATTTGGTGAGCTCCACCGGAAAGTGGAGGGAGATGAAGATGGGTCAAAATTGGTCACCAGGGATTGGACCGCAGATTTCGAAGCGTCCTTGTTTCCATTTGCCAGGGCAAACCATTTTTGGGTACCCATTTTGACCCACTGCCATATGAAGATGTGAAGCTGATACTTGACCAGCGATCTCATGGCTGATTCTCATTCCGCCGCTTTGACCTTGCTTTGGCTGCCTGATTCCGCCAAGTGGACGGAATGCCCCACCGGTGCAGTTTCATCCAATTCCGGCTTCTGCAAATAACATCCTTCCAGTGGCTCAGGTCATCTGCAACCGAAAGCGCGCATCAATGCATGAAGTGCAGCGCTGCTCTGCTTAAACGTTTGTTCAACGGACCGAAGCGCTACCAGAAACAGAATTGTGCTCCTTTGCGGAATTGCACCATTGAAACGATGCAGGGACTTGCCCCACTTTGCTGACACCACCACCCCCTGCATGAGTCACCTGAAGCCTCACTTGCCACCTCCGTGCGCTTGCTTCGACTGTAACGCTCTCGGTCAAACACCGGCGTATGAGAAAAAAAACAAAATGAGAGAGAGAAGAGTCTTGAAGTAGTTCTCTGTCCAAAGTCTCAGGACATCTAATTGATACACCTGTGGCTCCACTGGCTCTCTGTGGCTCCATTGGCTCCTTCTCCGCACCCTCATACTTGTTCCAGTATGCTGAGGTCTCCTCGCAGGCAGGGCACGCCCAGCTCTTTGGAGAATTTGGGCGTCTGAGTGCAGAGGTGGCAAAGAGAAGAGAAAAGGCCATGGGACGTGCGGAACTGGCTTGATGGCACTCTGACATTTAGAAACGGCCAAATGAGATTGATACTCACGTGCTCCCAGTGTTACATCGGGCTGGCAGCTTTCTCAATGTTGCTTCCACCACTGCTTGCACCATCCTGCATGCAACGTGAAATACTCTTCAACTTGCTGAGGCTTCCATGTCCTTTCGCTTCCAAAGTGGCCTTTGAGGGCAAGAACTCTGGTTGGCGATACCAAACCGGACGGTCCACATAGAGAAGGCCGTGGGCTCTGGCGTATCCTGCAGCAGTCGCATGAGTAAACGAACAGCTCCAGGTGAGAGTCATTCGCGGTTTCGCGCAGGCTCTCTTGGTAGTTCGCTCACTCGGGTTCAGTCCATCAGATCCCAGTCCAACACCTGACCCCCAACACCCCAAATTCCTCCCTCCCCACCCCCAATCCTCCCTCTTTCCGGCTCCCCCCACCCCCCACCCCACCCCCCACCCCACCCCCCACCCCTCACCCCAGCCCCCACCCCACCCCCCACCCCCACCCCCCACCCCACCCCCCACCCCACCCCCACCCCCACCCCCCACCCCCCACCCCCCACCCCACCCCCCACCCCAAAAAATGGAGAAAAGGGGGGCCCTGAGGGGAAGCCTGTTGATGGTTGCCTGTTCTGGTTTTTATGTTAATCTCAAATCTGTGTTCCCCCTTATTCGTTTTTTAAAGAGGGTTTTTAGGGAGCTTATTTATCGTTTTCGTTAAGGTAATCATTTGGGTAATTGCCCCCCTTGTTCATTGTTGGGCTGGGGGCAAACATTTTTTTCATTTGAAAGAGTTAGCCCTTTTAGTAGTTATCAAGTTCTGGGGTGTTGGCGGTGCTTGTGTTTTCACCTCACCTCGGCTTCGTGAACTTTGACATTGTCTTCGTTTCCTATCGTCGGGATGCCCAGATTGAAGCTTGATGTCAGTCATTGATGCTGAATTGCGAGAACACAGTCTTTAGCGTTGACGTTGTCTTTTGCCGCAGTTTTGCTTTAGGTTGTTCTTTCTCAAGTGGACGACTCAAGCCATGTTCCAGAACTTGCTCGTCTTCTTTTCGCTCTTGAAGCACTTGGTCTTGGTGGTGGTTTCTTTCCCTTTCAGGATGAGACGTTCAATGCTAGAGCGTCAGTCACAGCGAGATTACGAAGCCTTTCGGAGATATATGTCAGAGAACCGCCACCTCTGGACTAATCGCGATGCATATGAACATGAGCGTCATGCCCTTCATGATGTCACAGACAAAGACTTTGATTGGTGCCGAGACTGATGTTGAAGGATACTTCAACATGTAAATACCGACACAGACCGCAGGAAAAAAAAAGCTAAGTGACAGTGTCATTCTTGAGAGTGACTTGACTTGAGCACTTCAACTTTCCATACTGAAACACTTGCATTGTGTCAGAGCATTTTGGTTTTGACTAGTCCTTACCTGTTTGTCCCTTTCACTGCTGTGTGATGGCGTCAAAGTCCGGATACCCGATGGAGCAGGATGACACTGTCAACGACGAGATGATTGCGGAGCAGGTGCAGTTGGCAGAGGTTGAGTCTTCTAACCACGAGGGTGAGGAGAGCGAGCAAGAGGGTGAGACAACAGACCCAGAGGTGGAGGTCATTGACTTGCGTGAGTTGATGGAGTCCATGATTGCGGAGGGTGACGAGTCGTTCCAGTCATTGCTTGACAACGTCACCACAGAGGCAGACATGGAGATGCTGATGGACAAGATTCGTAAGCATCAGGACCATGTGGAGAGTTTGCTGTACATGGTCAAGGAGAAGCACAAGGAGGAGAGAACCAATAACAAGGAGGAGCGTGACAGATTGAAGAAGATTGCCAACAAGGTTCGGAAGACGGCGTTGGTGGAACAGGCACAGCAACAGGTGTTTGACATCATCGTCTCCTTCGAGGGTCAGCAGTTCCCCTTGCAGGTGCTAGGTGCATTCACGCTGAAGGACTTGAGGGCGAAGCTCATGGCGACGCACGGTGGCACGTTTCCGACCCTCTCCTTCGTGGATGGTTTGGTCTACACCTTGGGCATTGAGGGTAACCCCATCATGAACAACAATGCACGGCGTACCATGTTCTCCAGTGACAGCACAAAGAGTTGGCGGTTCTTCAACGGCATTGTGGTCAATGTCCGCCGTAAGACGGAGGCAGAGGCAAAAGCGAAGGCAAAGGCATCCACTGCGGCGAAGGCAAAGGCATCCACTGCGGCGAAGGCAAAGGCAAAGGCATCGTCATCAGCGAGTGGGGCATCCTCATCCACACAGTGAGCATCAAGTCACTGAGCGGTGTCAAGTTTTGTCGGTTTGCACTTGATGGAGAGAGCATACCAATGGAGTTTGCAATCCCTTTGCCACTTGGTTAGTTCTTCTGTCAGTTGTAGACCATCGCATACCCATGAGCAGAGTGCCACAGAGAAAAACAATTCTCAGACTTGCCTTTGACATGACTTGAGTCGTGAGATTGACTACTCCTTACAATTGTTGTTCTTGACCATTTGATGCTTGAATGCAACCATCCATGAGCCACTTTGCTGACAAGTCCTTCTGATGGCGTTGTCCCGCCCGTTGCTCGTTCGACCGAATGCTCCTCGGGGCGACGCTCATTGGACTAGAAAGATGAAGAAGGATAGTGAATTGCTTCTGTCCTTCATCAAGATGAATGACCTCTTGCCTGCCTTTGAGTTGTTCCGTCAATCCCAAGGGGAGAAGGACACTGTCAAGACTTCTTCCAGTGGTGCTCTTTCACCAAAAGAAGACGTGGTCGCCAAGGATGACAAGTCTTCCGATGGTGGAGACGGGGATGATGAACCTTCCGATGGTGGCAGTTCCAGCGACGGCCAGGGCGAAGAGCCGGACATGTCCTTCGTGGTGATGGTAGACAACGAGGTCTACAAGATGAAGGACGACAACGAGGTGTTGGTCTGCCTGAAGTTCATGATGATGGCACGCCTCAACATTCCTTGGCATGACATCAGCTTGGACTATGTGGACACTGAGGACACCTTTACCGACATGGATGACACGTTTTACGTGGGTGACCTCCTGACAGAGTGCTTGGGCGTGGGACAGAAACCTTCCACCATCGTGGGTGTGGACGTGATGCTGAAATCTCAAGTGGTGGTCAACGAGCAGGACGTCCTTTTTCTTGTTATTGTCCGTGAGCAGTTTGGTCAGAGGTTGCATCACCATCTCCAGATGGCAATGTATCTATCTACGGGTCTCATCAAGAAGTGTGTTCAATACTTCATGGCGGAGAAGAAGGACATCAACGTGGACTGCTTCATGGTGAACTTTCAGGATGACGACTACGAGACGGTCGACTACATTCCTGAAGGTCTGGAGTTGTTGACGGTGAATGTCAGCATCTACGGACGTGGCGGTGCTCTGAAAAAGGTGCTGAAACCACACCTGAAAGAGAGCGAGGCAAAGACGAACTTCATCCAGAAGAGTCACAAAACCCTGAAGTCCTACTTGGAAGACGCCGAGACCAAAACCAACCTTGCCCCCGCTGAGGTCCTTGCTCTGGTCCAACCGATGATGAACAGGATGGAGGAGTTCAAGAGAAAGGCGTCCGCTGGTGAGGACGTCCTCATTGATGGATTGAACAGCTTGTCAGACGAACAACTTGTCATGCTGAGCGAGGTGTTCAAATACAAGAAGGGGGAATACACTGAGCAGATGCTGGCGAAGGGTGCCTACGTGCTCATCCCTGAACTGGGGCAGATGGACGATGCCATTGGACACGTCACGAAGCATAAGAACACGGTTTTGTCCGACTTCCTGACAACCTACGCGAACCTGTTTTGTAGTCAGAAGGCGAATGGAGAAGTGCACTACGACAATGAGCGGTTCCGTGAGGCGGTGCGAGAGGTTCTCCTGTATAGGCGAAGGCTCCGCAGGAATGCTCAGGGTACTGAAACTGGGCAGGATGAAGACCCATCCAATCCGGCCCGTTGCCTCGTGATGTGAGCATTTGCACAGTGGATAATGACCTAATTATCCAGCGGATAAATCAACTGACCTTTCATTATCCAGTGGATAATTCAACCACTCTCTTTTTATCCAATGGATATACCTGTCAATATCCAACGGATATACCCTTGAATATCGAATGGATATGAGTGCCATTATCCACCATCTCAAGGTCTAACCAAAAACCTCACTGCCAGAGAAACAAGGAGGAAAAAAGGGACGAGACTTGTCTGGGTTTTGTGGTGTTTTTTGTTGTTTCACGTCATTAGTTAGCGTTCCTCTTCGCATCCGAGGTTGAGAAGTCTTGCTGTCCGAGCTCTACATGACTGCTGTCTACTAGGTTCGCCTGACACAGGGTTGACTTTTAGGGGTGTCGTTCTTGTCTTTTTGTTTTTTTTGTTGGGGGGTTTCTGTTGAGGGGAGGGTTCAAACAAGACACTTTGAAGGTTGAAGAGCAGAAGGGTTCAACCACAACCCCACCAACCCCACCAACCCTACCAACCCTACCAACCCTACCGACCCCGCATCCATCCCGCTTGTCAGAAGGTCCGACCTCATTCACATCTTAGGCAGGTTTCTCGGGTATGGGATAATAACAATCCTAATAAAACCATATACAAACCAGTATAAATACAAAAAAAAACTATAAAACAAGGCGAAACTCTCGCGATTTTTTTATTTATTTTGAGGTCTCTCACAAACTCATTTGTTTGTAAATGTTCGGTGATTTGGTCCTTTCCTTGTTTTTCAAAACCCTTGTTTTTCCCCATGAAATCCATCAAATTTAAAAAACATAACGAAACATAAAATCACAAAAACGGAGTTGAGAAAATCAAGAACTTTCAAATTTGCGACCAAACCTGAGAGCCCGAACCTGTCCCTGAAAATAATTCTAATAATTTCATATTATTAGAACTATTTAGATAATTATTTTATGGAGTAATGTCGCGAAGCTCATTAGGCTATTACTTTGTAATAGCGTAATGTCCATATGGTAATGAATTGAAAGCATCAATATAAAACCTTTTATTTTCATAA